GCATAGTCTGTATACAAATTTTGGTGTCATCTGCTTATTTGTTAAGGTTACAAAGTTCTCCAAATAGGAAAACTCTAATTATGGTCCCCATGAATATGAAAGATGAATTTCAATTTTTTCAATTCATAAAATTAAAAAAAATGTGATTTTAGCCAGTGTGTTATTTGTGGATGACTGCATTACAAATTATTTGGACATATTTTCTATTCTGCTAGTTTCTTTTTCTTTCCTAACTGGGCCATTACTAACTACATTTTATTAAATTTTGTACTTTTGTAAAATTACTATACATCAGCAATATATAAAAAATTTTATTTGTTTCCTTGTTGCTCAGTTTGTACATTAAACACAAGTCAGACTTGTGTTTAAACACAAGTCAGACTTGTGTTTAATGTACAAACTGAGCAACAAAGTAATTATAAGCATTACTGGAGAGAGCAGTTGTGGTCATTAATTATGATTAATAAATTATTATTAATCATCATATATATTTGATATTTTATAGACAGAAAATAGTTTTATGCTATTGGTAGATTGCATAGAAGGCAAATCAAAAGCATTTTGACCTAAAAGGCCCATTGTGCACTCCATAGATTACATCAGAAATCTGAACTCTACAAAAAAAAATTCTCTAAAGGAAAGCTGGGAAAGATTGCCATGGGTCAAAAAGCAAAAACCCAGATAAACAAATCTGCCCGAAGAAATGCCTGCAAAGTCACAAAATAGGTGCAGGAGAATCTCCTCAGAGAACTGTAAAAGCAGCAAAAGGCTGAAAAAAAGGTTACACTTGATATGGATGCTTATGAAAGTGACTAAAAACCAGCCACATACCAATAAAAAAATAAACATAATTCTTACTAAAAGCAAAACAATATGAAAGATTTGCTCCTACATATGTTTATTTTCTAAAATAAAATAATTTTAGTTATTTATTTAATTATTTTTAACTGTATATTGTTTATTTAATAATTATTAATAATATTTATATAATTTGATTATTGTTTGAAAGAAAAACTACCAAAAACAATGCACATAGACATTATCAGATTCCAAACAGAAACTAAATTTTACTGCCAAAGAGGGCAAAATAATTTCTTAACATGACGCCATCTATTGGAGGAATAGTGAAATAAACATTTAACAACAATGAATGTATCAGAGATATTAAAATTAAAGTTTCTAGAGCATTTTTCACAATGAATGTATATGATGTACAGTACATCAAAGCCAAAAAAGCAATCACTGCATATAAATGTATAGGATGCAACAGTGACTGAGAAGGGTTAATCTTTCCTGTTTTAAATGATCGAAGACAATCTATGACTAACTAGAGAAAGTATAGGAAAAATACTAACTAGTTTGAAGCTTTTGAAGAAAGATAACATTCCTTTCTTTTGATAATACTGACATTGTCATTTATTCACTCATGCCCTGGTCCCAAAAACTGTCGAGACCAGTGAATGAGTGAATTACCTGATGTACAACAAGTGATATTTATCTCTGGTTATTTTACAAAAATACCAAAACTGAACATACTAGAAGACCTGGAGAATCAGGAATGAATCTGGACTGATCAAAAATCTGCAGGAATTTTTTTTGAGAAGTGGTCTGTCAGACTCATCCCTCATCACCTGACCCCACTGTAAAAGCCTGGCACCTCCAAAACAAATTTGATAAAAGGTCTTCTTGGTGCATTTTATCAAGGTGAAAAGAGTTTATAATGACTGCAATTTTTTTTAAAGATAAAAAAAAAACGGTGTTTGGGAAAGAATATTTATTAGATCATAGTCAATTGACATCTTGCCAGATTGAAGTTGTATAATGCAGCCAAATTATGTGTTAAATCTATCTCTTTATTTAGAATCATAGGAAGATTACTCTCTCTCTGCTGCTTCTTTTAATCGTTAGAAAATTTTAACTAATCATATAAAATCTTTCTTAATAAAACATCTTTGTGACTTGGATTGAGAGGCAAAAGTTTTAAGTGTAAAACTGTTAGATATCAGATTGGGAACATTCATGATACACTTCTCACTCTTGCTGTAAAAGAAAGAAAGCATGACTCTGAAATTTCACCCATGGCTACCTACTACTTTAGCTTGTGGATTGAAAGATTTTAATTTTAGTCTCTTTAGTTTGTGTGACACTCACTTCTAGGTTAATATTTGTAGGCAAATCTTCGTAAAATAAGAAGTCAATCTATATGAGGCTGTAAAAGTAACAAGGAATTGCATTCAATTTTTACAAGAATACAAAGAAAATGATTGGAGCAATCTATTTCAAGTGCTATTGAAGTTATTAATAAACTTAAAGTTGAGCTTAAATTTCAAAGTGTAAAAAGAATAAGATATATTAAATAACAAAATAATTATGAACATAGAGATGAACCTATTACAACACCCAGAAAACAATTCAAAATCAAATTTTTCAATGTATTACTCAGCACAGCATTAACATTAAATGCTATTTTATAATCTCATTTTTCTTAAAATACATTAAATAATTTACTTTTCTTTGTATTTATGTAAATGCTAAACTATCTTACAGTAAAAATAAAAGCGAAGACAAATTCACTTTAGATTAAAAAGTAAAAAAATAAACCAGAAAAGAGTTGCTCCACTATCCCAGCAACATTTAAAATTTTGATGGTGCCATCTGTTATCATATATTTATTATATCTGTTATTATATATTTTATTAAAAAAACTTAAATGGCAAAAAGCTTAATTTTGACAGTAGGGATGAGTTTTATAAAAAAAATTATAAATGCTAACCACTAAAACACAAACTTCCCTGTAAAATTTCAGAAATTTTCAACAAAAAGCACAAGAGCTTAAAAGAGGGTTAACAAAATCATGCCCCCAAAAAAAATCCTCATTTTTTTCAATTTCTTGACATTTCATGGTGTCCCAAGTCCAAAAATGTAAAAATCTTTGGGTAAATTTGTTGACCAATTGCCAGACTTTCCCTCTGTTATACAAGGTGCATTCAAGTTGTAAGGTCTCCTATTTTTTTTTATAGGGGAAGAGAACAGGTAGCAACGTGTAGTTTTTTTTAAACGAAGCGAACACTGTTTGTGGTCACATAACAGAGAGGGTAGCACCACATGGCACATGGAACTCTAGCAGCAGCAGTTCGAGTGAGAGATGTTTTTGAGACTTAAAATGGCAATGTTTTCATTATAAGAACAATGTGTAATCATTCATTTTCTGCACTTGTGTAGAGTGACATCCACCAAAATTAATTTCCAGTTGAGTGACACGTGGTGAAAGTGTCATGGATGTGAAAAATGTGTGTTCGTGGGTGCAACAACTCAAAGAAGGGCAAACATCATATGACAACAAACCAAAACATCTATGCCTGCAAACCAGCCAGTCTGACAATATGATAGTGCAGGTGAAGCAACTTGCTCCAAGTGCACAATCAAGTTGTCATCATGAATTGCTTCCAGGTTTGCGAGAAAAATGGCCAGAAAAGGCTGCACGTGTGCTCTTCCATCAAGACAATGCTCCAGCTCATTGGGCGACGTTAACAAAGGAGTTTTTTTGTAAAAACAACTTTTAAGTGGTTTCTCATGGTCCCTACTCACCTGACCTTGCTCCTAGCAATTTTTGGCTTTTTTCAATGATGAAGGACACTCTCCATGGTCACACATTTTCCAGTCATGCCACTCTAGCATCAGCAATTTTCCAGTGGTCAAAACAGAGACCTAAAGAAGCATTCACAGCAGCCATGATGTCATGGTGTCGGCATTGTGAAAAATGTGTACGTCTGCAGGGAGATTATGTTAAAAGTGACAGAAGTTTCAATTTGTTTGTGTAAGTATTTTGTCAGAAAAAAAATGGGAGACCTTAGAATTTGAATGCACCATGTATATAACAACCAGGAAAGTAAAAACTAAAAGATTCAGTGTTTTCATATGTACATTTTTCTCACATCTCAGGAAAAACAAAGCTATATTAGCAGACAGACCTTTATTTGAAAGGTTCAATAATAAAAAATTATCTACAAAACATTCCAAAAGTGTGAGAGGGATAAAAATGTAAAAATTGAACTTTTTAGTACTTCTAATTCTCTAAACTGTCTTACAGTATTAAAATTGTTGAAACAAGTAAAAGCAATTATATCTATAATTTACAGCTTTCCATTGCTCATGTTTATCTAGTGTTTAGTTATATTTTTATTAAAACATTTCAAGCATTGCCTCTTTGAAAGTATCTATTAATCAAATTATAATGAATGTTCTTTTAATAAAAATTACTATTAGGATATACATATAAAAAGTTCTTCCCTGAAAAAGATTTTGAGAGTCTGCAATAAGATATTATTCTAACTATAAAGATATTAAACTGAATGTTAAATTTTTAAGTATTTGTAATAATAAAGTACATTATTATTAACTAGCTGTACCCAGCCACATGTCGCTGTGGATCAAAATGTATAACACTCCCCACAGGAGGAATTTCAAAAAATCCCTTTTTAGTGTACATTCTCTGACATATCCTATTAAAACACAATCAAAAGTGCAAAAAAACCGCATCTAAAATATTATAATAGAAGCTGAATTCTTCACGGTCAGCTTTAATCCTGTCCCTCTTCCCCATGGGGGGATTTCAACATCTGTGTAATATAAAAACATGTGCTTATTCGAATGCAACACTGTGCCAAAATTTCAAAACAATTGGTTAAGAACTTTCGGAGATTTAAGATTTTGAACAAACGAACATTTACATTTTTATTTATATAGATTTTAATGTTAATGTAAATATATAATCCAATAATAATGAATGACAGTTTTTATTCACATTATATTTTATATGTTTTTTTGATAAAGTTATTATACAAGTTCATAATTTCATTACTAATATTTGATCCATGTGTATTACTAAGGATGTGATAAATAAATAATTTATTCCAAATTTTTGCAGGATATAGGAAAATATTTTTCTTATAACTGGCAAATAATAATAATTTATATCATAGAATATGTGTAACATTTACCTGAATACATTTTCTTGCAGCCATCTTCCAGCAATATCAAAATAATATAAGGTATATTTTGTAAACAGTGTTATGTACTGATATAAAATTTCCCCTATTTCTGAAATAAACCTCACTATCTTCTCCACATATAATGGTATGTGTTCAGATAACTAAAAAAAAAAAGTTTGAAAATTAAATTCTATTCTTATGTAAATATCTAATTTATTTAAATTAGATTTTATATTAAAACATACCCAATCTAGAATTGGTGGAATTTTAATAATTAACCATTCTCTTATATCTGCGGTACTGTCCCAAACATATTCACAAAACAGGAAAAAGTTTTCCCAAAACAATTCTAAATAAGGCCTACAGATGTTGCATGCTTTAGAATAATATACCGGAACATTTTTATTTAACCATCTGAAATACAAAGAATTATTATTATTATTATTATCATTTATAATTGATTTTGAAATACTATTTCAAAAATACTTTAACATATGCTAACTTTCAGAGATATAATAAAACATGTATACAAATTTCATTTATGAAATAAAGACTATTTAATCTAATCATAACAAGATTAAAAACACACAAACATAGAAGCCAATACTTTTTATCATCAGAAATACTTTTAAATCATTCCAGTTTATAAATCTGTTTCTTCTTATGATAAATTTTAATATTTTACACTTACTTTTTTGATGTTTAGAAAAGTCCAACCAAAATAACTAAATTCTTAAAAACTTCAAAAATCTCACAATCTATTTTACAAAAAATTTTAACAACTTTTCCTTCTTTTAAATGAGGACAATTTTATTTTTATGGCATTTTTTATGACTACAGACAGCAGTTATTATTAATGAGTACAGACTTGTGACAAACTATTTTCTTTCAAAAATTCATAAATGTGTTTAGGGTCAACATTTTAAATTATCTTGTTTATTTTATACGCAGTTTGTTTGTATCCTTTGAATTTCTATTACAGAAATTAAAATTTCAAGTATAGTGCATTCTTGCCAATACAAAGTTATCATTATATGGGGGCTCTCAAATTAGTGAAAAATTTGTAAACAGGTAAACATTATAAAATGTGGGATATTTTTGCATAAAAAGTTACCTTAATTTTTAGTTAATTTTCTTCTTTACACAACTTTCCACTAAAAATTCTGTTCTGTAAGGTAAGGTAGTATTCTCCAGTGTAATATCACAACACAATTACTTTATTTAATTAATAACAACAAACTGATATTTGGAAGTACATGATAAGCCAGTCAAATGGCATTGACTCAACATTATAAAACTCCTCACTTTGTGTGAATAAACTATTCACTTACTCATTTGGTATATATCAATGAATCAAATAATTTGTTTTAAATGAGTTACAATCATTCATTTCAGTAGTGCTACTGTAATAGAAAATAATCCACTCATTTTATTTTATATTATTAATGAAATTAAATTATGCAATGACTTGTTCATTTGGAAGATGTAATTTTAATTTTACTTTTCCGGCTCAAATAATAAGCCCATAAATAAATAGCAAGAAATAGAAAACAGTACGTAACAATTTAAAAGGTGTAAAAAATTTTATTATGATAATTATAGGAAAATTTGGCATTAATAATTTTTGCTAGATATGATGATAAAATGTTTCTATTTCTTAATATACAGGAAATTTGAATAACAAATGATTATGCTTTATACTTACTCCAATGATTTTTGAGAATAAGAAGTAATCCTTCCTCTAGCTTGTTCACAGGCATTCAATATACCAGATTCCTTTAAAAATTTTCCTGAACGAGACCCTATAAAATGAACAAACATTAATAAAAAAAAATTTGAATGCACATTGTAACATAATTAACCAATTTTTCTCAGTTATACGATCTGCAGACTACTAAAATAGTCTTTCATATCGCATATCTAGGGCCTGATCATCGCATAGACAAATGAGACAGTTTGACTGGATCCTAGACATTTATCTATTTTGAAAAGATTTGTAAATAAGATAGTTTACTTTTCTGTTGGACAACTGTATATAATAAACAAAAAGCAAAAATATATTGCTTTTTATATGGTTATCGTGAATTCTAAAAATCTAAAGAAAATGTGTTCTTATGTTTATTCTTATTGAAAGAAAACTCCCAATAATTTAGAATTTTTTTTATAGTGATAAGAATAATAATAACTATATGTATTCTTAACATCCTGTGAAATATTGTTAAATAACTTTGCTTTTATTTTTTATTAAGCAGCTGCAGTGTCCATATGTGATTTAACAGAAATAATAGTAACAAGATTTATTAATTGAAAGAGCTGGGAGCGGGCCCAGTAAGAAGAAAATGTCTAGGGCCCCAAAGTGGGTTAATCCGGCCCTGGGCATATTTTTCGCTCCTACTCCACCATTGATTCCTGAGAACATTATTCCTAATATTGAGTTGCTCATAAAGGGGATGAATATCACTAAACAAGATTACATCAGATGGAAGACAAGGTTCTGGGCAGAAAGTGAGAAGCAAGGTAACAAAGAAGAAAGGCGGTTCAACAAAAGCATAAAAGAAGCAAGAGATTGGCTACAAATGAATGATATTGTGCTCATAAAGGCAGATAAATCCAAGGGTATAGTGCTCCTCAAACGAGAAACATATAACCAGAAAATAAATGAACTCATCAACAACACAGAATGTCTTATTGCTCCTGATAACTATTTAGAAACATTACAGCAAAGAGTTAGGAAATTCATGTTAACTCCGTTAGCGAATCATTTGAATATGGAAAGAGGGATCATTCGAGCACCAAGGGCTCCAAGAATCTTTGCATTTGGGAAAACACACAAACCAGGATCACAGTTATGCCCAGTGGTAGAAAAGTGCAATGCACCCACTTTCAGTATAGAAAAACGACTGGTTAAATTTATACGGGAAAAAATCAAGGAGTCACCCTATTCAATAAAAAACTCGCTACAATTGGTGCAGAAACGAGAAAATATTACACTTAAGGATGAGGAGTTAATGACTGTCTTAGATTACAAGGCCTTATATCCATCCATTAAATTACCTCCTTGCTTTTGTGCCTTGAGAGATTTTTTATTTGCTAACATCAAAAATGCTATTAAATACCATCAGCACATTTTGGAATTATCTGATTTGATTTGCCA